GGTAGGGCCTTTATGATGTTGTTGTTGTTGGCTGAAATACCCCACCCATCCCCATAAGCACATAGGCAGTGGCTGGGAGATTCCAAAACTCCCAAAGTACATAAGGAGGAAATGGAAGGTACTTCTCCTTTGGCCACCCTCTGTGTTTCTCTCTCTTGACTAAACTGGCCCCTAATTGAAGTACACTTGGGTGATATTGATTTCAGCTAGACTGAAGTAATGTGGTTTCTCCTAGACCTAAGCACACATACTATGTTATTGCGTTTGAATCCAATCTTCCATTTCAGGGCTCAAAGCAACATGTCAGAACTTGAATTGTACAAGCAGGTCTAACATTGCAGTTTCTAGGCATTAGCTCACAGTAATAAGAGCTCCTTGGAGATTTCTGTGATTATAAAAGTTGGCTTCACTGTGTTATCTTCCTTGACATTAAGATACAACTCTCTTTGGGAAAGTCTTGCCAAGTATTTCGTTGTTGCCAAGTTAATTAACCAGGAGAATCCCTACTAGTTTCCCACCCCTACAGCAGAACTTTCCAAATGGTGGGCTGGGACCTACCAGTGAGTTGTGGGAACTTCCTGGGTGTGTTGTCAGGCTAGCAGCAGAAGATGGGGGCATTGTAGGATAGATATATGTGGAAATATATTGCACCTGGTCCTGTTGACAGCAATAATACAGTTTGAATGGATTAACTTTATTCTCAGCCTAGATCAGTTACTGCCTGAATCTGGGACAGAAGCAAAAATAGATTATTATCTGTTTTAATTTTTGTGTGCATATGAATCAACTTCTTTAGTTGTCTTTATTAATTACTGTCCTTCTTTCTCTCTCTCACACACAAACACTGTTCAGGTAATATGTGTTGCTGTATATACTGTATTATGGGTGCACTGTCACCAGAGTTTCGGTGTAGAATTATATTTTAAATAACCCAGTTTCCATGGGGAAGGCCACTGCTTACTTCTCAGGGTCCAGTTGATCACCATAAGACCTTCAGGTCAGATAAAGCCTGCTCTTTAGTGCTCAATCAAAGCAAATGTCAATTTGGGTTTTCTGCAGATTGACCTTTGCTCTGATTGAGTGCTAAAGAGTGGGTTTTCATGAGGAAAACTCTGGACCAAAAAATGGGCACCTGGACACGGAGCTTTAAAATGCAGACCTGGAAAGAGGAGAGGAAAAGTAAGTGAGAGTTTCCCCTTTCCACATCTGTCCCCACAAGAAGTGATGGTCAAATGTTGAATCATTATGGGATTTAGGGCTGTGCCAGCTACCCTTGCTCCCAACATCATGATGGCATCCATGGTGTCCTTCTAGATTCAGGTAGGTAGCCGTGTTGGTCTGACAGAGTAGAAATATATTAAAAAATATTTAAAATTTGTCCAGGAGCACCTTAAAGGTAAAGGTAAAGGTACCCCTGCCCGTACGGGCCAGTCTTGACAGACTCTGGGGTTGTGCGCCCATCTCACTCAAGAGGCCGGGGGCCAGCGCTGTCCGGAGACACTTCCGGGTCACGTGGCCAGCGTGACAAAGCTGCATCTGGCGAGCCAGCACAGCACACGGAACGCCGTTTACCTTCCCGCTGGTAAGCGGTCCCTATTTATCTACTTGCACCCGGGGGTGCTTTCGAACTGCTAGGTTGGCAGGCGCTGGGACCAAGCAGCGGTCAATGTCAGAAGGACACCATAGAATATATAAAAATAAAATAGAGACCAACTAAGTTTGGTACAAAAGCTCATACCAAGAACAAACTTAGTTGGTCTCTAAGGTGCCACTGGACATTTTTTTAAAATTTTATTTTCATATATTTCTATGGTGTCCTTCTGACATTGATCAGAAACACCTGCAGCAAGAAAGCCTTCACATATACAGGAGTCTGTAGATGTTCATGCCAAGCATTTAGATGTCAGTAGGAAGGCTAGCCAGCACAGTGGTTCAGTACATGGAAATAACTTCTGAAGAGGGTTGACATATTGTGGGTTCACATTTTGTAGTTCTATCGTTACTGAATCCTTATACTGTTGCAGCAGTTCTAAAGAGTTACAATCCGTTCTAATAACTTGTTTATCAATTATAAGAATGTGGAAAATACAGCATTTCCCCCTTTTGTTATGCAGCAATAACAAGAACACATTTAAGGAGCTTCCATGATGATACAATTAAGCTGCAGTTACAGGAATCCATCAATCAAGCTGTAGTTACAGGAATCTATGTTTTTATTGCAGTTTTTCATTGTGCCTGGATGCAGATAGTCTGATCTCATACAAGGGTAGGAGTATCTCTCTTGAGAGTCGGTTAATGAAGTGATATTGGAGACACACACTGTCAGGCAGTATTAAAATACTGCCATAGGATATTTGATAGCTCTTGTCATGTTCTGAGACGGCTCCATACCTTTTCGCACAAGCATTACCACTACTTGCTTGTTAATGTTACAGGTATATATGCAAATTACCACTGTTTGTATGCAATAAGAAGATTGTCTCTTCACTCTTGCATAGAGATGCAAAGACCTGGAGAAAAACTGTTAATGATGTTGATACAAGCAATTCTTAGAACTTTGAATTAGTATATTGCTTTTAAATGTTGCTGCACATCTCCAGGTATTTCAAGATTCAGTCAACCATCTGGCATGAGTGAAGAATAGATTGGAAGAGATTTGCTAGCCAGCACAGCCAGGCTTCTTAGCCTGCAGCAAAAGTCCTTCGGCTAAACCATATTTTCACAATACATTTCTTAGCACTAGCCAACATGCTCTGAACCAACAGTTCTCACTCCTCCTGGCTTGCAGTGATACTGACTACCTCCACTTAAGAAGTTTCAAACTTCAAAACACGGCCAGCTCATTTATTTTTGTCTGGCAGTACACAGAGATGTAGTTAGAAACAAGTAATTATGGACAAAAATTAGGATTTTCCCACCAGAGTGATTAACCCATGATGCGGTTAAGGAAATTGACTTTCCCAGGCAGATTCAGATTATCTGAGTGTAAGAGACATTGATTTTGATTAGCGAAATTAACCTGAGTTTTGATAGTATTTTCAAGGCAATACTTACTGGGATGGAGTGGGATATCCCATATTTTCCCGTCTATAAGACACCCCCATGTATAATATGCCCCCTATTTTTGGGGACTCTGATTTAGGAAAATAGGGGGAGATGTATCTGTGTATAAGATGCCCCCAAATTTTTACTTAAAAACCGTTGTATACACGGAAAAATACAGTAAGTGAAAAAAGTGTAGGTTCACATAGATAGTTTTTCCTCTATTTAATACGACACTTGCACTCTTGTATTTCCTCCTCAGCTGAGTTTACATGGAATTGCTGTCTTACACTTAAGTAGGTGTGATTGACTGATTGATGACTGACTGACTGATTGATTCATTAATGTATATATATTTGTCATTTTTTGGATAAGCAGGCTTATTTCCAATACAAAAGTGCACATGTTGGTGCTATGAGTTAATTGCACTTCAGCAGGCTCTGGTGGCAATAACTGATCCTTATAGTTAGTTGGGGAGGCTCAGCTCTCCAGGCCATCTGGGAAATGATAGAACTCAGAAAGCCATGTGAAACCTCTTTGGCAGCTTCAGGTGGAGGTCCAGCACAATAAAAGGTCAGAGATGCTCCAGGTTGCTTATTCATTGGAAAAAATGGTAGAAATCAGGGTTTCTTCATGCTAACAAGCTAACTCTTTGCTACTAAAAAGTGCAGTTTCTCACCAAGTATAACTCAGTATCCAAAGTTGTTGCTGTGCTAATACCAAGGTCTATGTGCCCTTGCTTTTTTCCCTACCTCAGCTGTTTTGAAAGTTTGGGGGCAATTTGGAATGGCGTATGATATAGCAGGGGTGGGGGCAACCCTACATATGCATGCATTGAAGTAATGTGTGTGTTGGGGGGGGGAGGTTTTTATTCCCAGCCATGGTTTTCCATCACACAAAGCACTTTATTTGCTTTTATTTATTTGTTTTATTTATTTCATTTTATTTTGAGTGGTATTGCCTATAGAAATAAAATCCCCCTCTGTAGTAAAGTAAGTTTTGGATGTTTGTTATGAATGAAACTATTACCTCAAAGTTCTGTGTTTTTTAAAAATAAAAAGAATAAAAAGAGAGGGGTGGAGGAGAATTCAGGTTTTCCAGAGCTTCTTGGTTTTACATCTTTATTCTTGCCATCTCACATTCACTTCTATTTCAGCTGTCATATTAATCACCTGGCAATTGGGAGAAATGGGACCAATTTATTTGCTTTAAAAGGTTTTGCTGTGTGATCTTTGGCAAGATGTTTAAGCCTCTTTGTCTCTGTCTTCTGTTTGAGAACTCTGGGTAAAGGCACATTCCTACCTTGCAGGTCTGTTGTGAGAATAGCGTAATCAATTGTTGTAACTCATTTAAGATGAGAAGGTACAGAAATGTTCCCTCAGTATTTAAATGATGAAGTCAACCTCCCCTTTTCTTCTTTTCTGTGCTAGAAAATGGAACTTACTTATTTTTAAGATGATAAAATTCTTTTTTAAACAGTCTCTGCCATGGGTTGTACTTTCAGACTCCTTTATTTGTGCACTTAATGGGTGGTGCTGCTCTTAAGGATTTCCCCGCCAGGACACTTAAATTATTTTCACCCCTGTGGGTTGCTGTAAAAAATTTAATTTACAACCATTCCGGCAATAGCACCTCCTAAGGAGCCAGGCATGAGCTTTGTAGTGGCTAACCTTGACTCAAGAGCAAACCATGGGAGTGGAAGGTGTTGACGCAATATCTAAGTGGTGTGGGAACAACTTTAGTAGTTGCAGCAGGAACTCCAATACGCATCTAAGCGAACAGATTCTTCCATTTGGGCTGTGATCCAGGTGACATGCTAGCACACCCCTTGATGTGAGTGCTTGTACTTATTGGTCCAAGTAGGGGAAACTGCCACCTGTGTTTTGTGTAGCTGCTCTTCTGATGCTTCCGTTTAGTAGAATTCCTCTTCTCACCATTGGCCCTTTTGTTATTCGCAGCTTGTAGCTGTATTCGATGAGCAAGACCCACACCATGGAGGAGATGGCACCAGTGCCAGCTCCACTGGCACCCAGAGCCCCGAGATCTTTGGCAGTGAACTGGGCACCACTGCTGTGTCAGCCTTCCAGCCTTACCAAGCAACAAGTGAAATTGAGGTCACGCCTTCAGTCCTTCGCACAAGTGAGTAAAGGTTCCCGGTGCCTCAGCACATTTCATCTTCATTTACTGGGATGCCAACTTCTGTTACCCTCTCATGCTGCTGGGAATATGATTCATTATGTGTCTTTATCAGAAGCTGATTAAAGTTCAGAAAAGGGGTAAATGGTTGAGGCAGGCAAGTAAATAAGCTTCTGCCTTTTTGGTTTTTAATACAGTGCTTATGAGCTGCTTTAAACACTCATAAACATGTGTGTGTGTGTCTGTTGCACCCCCAATTCCTAAGTAGCCGAGCATGAAAACTTGTAGCACAGTTTCCAGATTGTAGTTTCCAGAGTGGCAGGATTGACCTAGCAAGTGAAGATAAAAAAGATGAAAAAATTGGTCTATAGTACGTGCTTTGAGTTGTAAGAGACTATGAATATCACGGAGGTTGCTTGCATCACCTGGCAGTTAAACATAACCCAATGGCACAGTGAGTTATATGCCTTTCTACCCCTTTCAAATAAAAAAAAAGATCAGGGAGTTGTCTTCACATCTCAAGATCTGAATATGTCAAATTCAGGGTGAAAATAAGGACACGTTGCAATAGAGATCACATTTAAAGTTATTTCCCTACTCTTATTTCACGCAGTACAACTTAGTGCTTGTTCTGATGTCATGTCACAATGCATTTGTTTGCCCATGCTACCAATCATTGTAGGGCAGGGACAGGGAAACTCACAGTATCTCTGTGTCAAGACATGGGGTTTCCTATTGGAGGAGGTGGCAAAAGAGGGCAAGAAATAAATATGGGCTCCTAATTTTGGTGGCATTCTGTTTCTTATCCCCTGGTCCGTCTCCCCCCCCCTCAATATCTGGAATAAGATAAGTCTTCAGAAGATTTAGAAAATGGGCCTAGAATATCGCTACATTGCTGGACTACTTAAACACTGGTTCATGGCTACGTTTCACTTAGTTGTCAGAATCCTAAGGTTGCATGGATGAGCTGAGACTGAACTTTATTGCTTGATAAGCTTGTCAGCTGAGGAGTGTTGCCAACATATCATCTAGAGCAACTTCCTCCAACTTACTCTCCATATGCTTTTGATTACAACAGCTCCGACTGGGGCTGATGGAAGTTGCAGTCCAAAACAGCTACACAGCACTGTATTCAGAGAAGGTTGATCTAAGGTAGGCATGGCCAAACTTGGCCCTCCAGCTGTTTTGGGACTACAATTTCCATCATCCCTGATCACTGGTCCTGTTACCTAGGGATGATGGGAGTTGTAGTCCCAAAACAGCTGGAGTGCCAAGTATGGCCATGCCTGATCTAAGGGAAGGGTTTATCATCTTGTAGCTTGACTCTACCTTGATTAAACAAATGGTTTGCTGTTCATCAAGAGTTAAGTAAGGCTCAAATAGAAACTAATGAAATAGAGAATCCACACACACTTCAAAAATGTCATTGGACAGATGAGTGGGAAAGGTAACAGCAAACGCATGGTATGCTTCAATATTTCCAAAGGAATTCCAGGGATACAGCACTTCCACTCCCTTCCCCCCAAACTATATCGCAATACAAACACTACAAAACACTACAAAAGTTTCCTTTCTCCATTGACTTTCCTAAGTGTTATCATTCAGCGAATAAAACTGTTCACGTTACATTGATTAAAACATGAGAGGAAGGAACTTGTCCACCTCTTAGTCAACTCAAAATGCTAAGAACTTCTTACTGGATCACACCAAAGTCCATTTAGTTTATCATTCTATTTCTGGCAGTGATGAAATAGATACCTCTAGAACAGCCTTCCGCAAGCATGGCCAATAATTGGGAATGATGGGAACTGTAGTCCAAAACATCTTGTTGGGGAAGGCTTTTGCGTGGCGAGGCCCCCAAACCAGCCCCTCGTTAGAATAAAATTCACACTGACCCAGAATTTTGGTTTAAAGTTATTGGGAAAATTTTATTGATTAAAGACATATGAGCGGTATTGGCTTAGGCATTGGCAAAGGACTATATTGGACTCCTGCCCCCTTTGCAGGAAGTCAGTAAGGGTAAACCACCCACAGAGGAAGCCACACCAGCGGAACCTGCCTGTAGCTCTCCTCAGTGTCCCCAGAGGCCTGGCATGGCCCTAGTCCCTCAAGCAGACTTTGGACAGGATCCAGGCCCTGGATTCCTTTAACGGAATGCCCTTGGTCAATGGAGGGGCAGGCGATGGCTGACCTCCCCTCCCCCACAAATCAATGAGCCAATGCCTAACCGCAAAACCTTACAAAGTTGTGACGATTGCTAAGAGGTAGGCGAAAAATAAAGGGTGGGTGGGTGTTTGGCAGTGTGAAGCAGGTGGCTGACACACGTCATGCTGCCACTTTTATATCCCTCCGCGATCACCCCACGGGGGAGGAGCCGGCCTGGGGGCCTGCCCGCAACCAGGACCATCCTTAAAGATGATCCCACCTCTAAAATTGCACAAAGGGGGCACTCACTGTTTGTGACATACTGTACTCTGATGTGGATAGCTTAGGTTGTTCCTTTACCAAATTGTGGGTCCATGGATCTGCCTTACAGCTGAGGGATTAGGCTAGGGTTAAGCCAGACTTTTTATAGTCTCTTCTACCCCTGATTCTTTAAAAATGCAGTCGGTTTGAACCTTCATCCCCATTAACTGTCATGTGCATCTACTGCTTGTCCTCTATACTGAAAATATAGCACATTGCAGAAAACTGTTTAAAGAGACTAACTTAGACAATGTATTTGCATGACATTTATGCTCAGGGAAGAAATGTGCGAAATATTTTGGCACAGATATCCTAGAAAATCAAAAGCAATGTTCTGTGTACAACTTAAAAGAATTTCTTTCCTTTCTTTGTGGAATGTTTTTTGTTCTTCGGGATGCTGCACCCTGTGGGTAATTGGAGCCATACCAGCAGCGTGATTTGACATTAAGGCAAACCGATTTCAAATACCTGATTTAAATATACTTTGAAAATAGAAATAATATCCCTATTGTATTTCCTTTTTAACTTGTGAAGTGAAGCATGGCATACAAATGGTATTCTCAGGATTTCAAATAATTACCTTCTTATACTGTTCAGCTTCTATTCAGCTCATAAAACCCATCCAGTTTCATGGTAGTTGCAGATCCTGATTATTACATGTTGACAAGATCATATATCTATTAATTAGATTGGAGATGGGATGCAAAATTGCTGTAATTATTGTAATTTTCCAGCTAATTGTAGGGTTGGTGGTGAATATTTTACTTCTACCAAATGAAAAACAGTATTCCATCCGAAATTGTTTGGTAGCAGTTGTAGATATTTCTCTTTTTCTCCTTTGGTGCTTTGCAATTTTATTATTCCCCCACCCGCCTCCGCCTGCCCTGAGTATGCTTTTTCTAAGTACCAAATGGACTACAACTTTTGACAATGCAGCTCATGTGGCAAAGCCTACATTTTGTTCTGCTGTTTGCATGCATCTGAGGGGTAACAGAGCAGCCTCTGTTTCGACGCACTGTCTAGGCGTATTAAGCTAAGGCTGAATGATCTGCTGAGATTTTCATCTTCCTTTGTTCAGGTTGCCTTGTCCCCCCCCACACTTTTTTGGTTTGTGTTTAAATTGTACCAGCTTCCCTAGAAAGGAAAAGGTTAGCTAGATCAGCTCCAGCTGAGAAAGTAATATGCATCTGGACTGCCATTACCCCCTATGCACAAGACATAAAACCATGCATTCTCTGCAATAACCATGTACTGTGTGCATGGAGAGATGGCTTAGATTGGATTTTTGCAACAAATCAAGAATAATACTGCGAAATAAAGTCTTTGTGCTATTCTGTATAGAAACACTACAAGTCTTCCTTCCTTCCTTCCTTCCTTTTTTAAAAGTTTCTTATCTCCTTGTTTTTAACATCTATTTTTATATAAAATATTACCTAAACTAAATTTTCTGCTGCTGCATTTATTTAGTTTAGAGTAACTGTGTACTAGATAAAAGTGCATTTTTTATCATTACTAAGTGGGTATCTGTGTACTTTACAGAAGATGTACATAGGGAGCTTGCTGTGGAAGATGGGTTGAAGCAAACTGATGCTTATTCCCTGCTGAAATGTAGAAACTGGAGGCGCAGGTGAAAATTGCCAAACCTAATGAGCAATTTGGCAGATAAGACAGGATGTCAGGCAATGACAGTTCAGCCGCAGTGGCACTGCCTGTGAACCAACTTGTTTGTTTCAGAGGACTGAATTTAAATACCATAAATGTGATCGCTTGCCATCAGATAGCAAACAAGAGCTTTTCTCCTAAATATGTAGCTGTGCAAGCTTTAAAACATTTGAAGTGGTTTAGAAATGTCTGTCCTTCCTTTCTCATTAAGAGTTTATGTATATTTAGAAGTGAAGAAACTGGGCAGCAAGGGAATATAAAACAACTCATTAAATCTTCAGATCATCCTTATATTAAAACATAAGAGATAAAATGTGTAACTAAAATATCTCAGTGCTTATCCCCCACCAGTAAATGCCTGTTTCTTTTCTTTTCTTTTCTTTTCTTTTCTTTTCTTTTCTTTTCTTTCTTTTCTTTTCTTTTCTTTTCTTTTCTTTTCTTTTCTTTTCTTTCTTTCTTCTTCTTTCTTTCTTTCTTTCTTTTTCTTTTCTTTTTCTTTCTTTCTTTCTTCTTCCATTCTTTTTGTTAAGTCTTAAATCACTACTGGAAATGGTTTGCGCTCTGGTTTTGGTGGTCTAAAAGGTTAGTGAACTTCATAGCCAGCCCAACATTTTATTTATTGACCCATCCCTGGCCATATTCCATCAGACTGGGGGTTGGACTAAATGACCCTCATCTCTCTTTCCAACTGTGTGTTACTACAAAGCAACTACTCTGCTTGATGGCTGTACTCTGCCTCCACAGTCGGAGGCAATAATGCTTCTGAATAACAGTTGCTGGAAACCACGGGAGGGGAGGGGACTCTTGTGCTTGAATCCTGCTTGTGGGTTTCCCACAGACAAAGGGTTGGCCACTGTGAGAACAGGATGCCAGAC